TATTTATTTAGGATTATTGGCGCTTATTACATTTCAATTTTCATTATTAAAAATTATTAAATTTATGAAAATTGAAAGAAAACGAAATATATTGGGTAATCGAAAAAGTCTTTTCGTATTTCTAATCAAATTTCAACTTTTTTATTTTTTATATTTATACTAACAAATAAATAAACAGATATGTACCATTTTGATCGGCCAACTTTCCGCTAGAGACATTGTTCCATCAGTGTAAAAACTCCATCAGTGTAAATCGAAATTTCCAGAAGCGAGCGAACCATTGTTGTGTTGCATCAACAAATAAGGCATCCTCTCCGTAAACTTCACAAATTTCATTAGTGACTTACATGATTGTTCCTTTATTATACAAAAATTTCAAAATATAGCTAATTTCTTCATTATTTTCACTCATTTTTGAACAGCTGTAACTTTTTTTTTAACTTCCCCGATTTTTTTTCGGTTAAATTAAGCTTAAAATCCACCTTACCAACACTATATGGTATGACACTATGTGATAACTGGAAGCACTGGAAATATATGGCAACAACGACAAAATACGAAAAGGCTTTTTCGACTACTCAATATTTTTCCACGCATGGCAAGGTTGAGCAGTTTTTTGAGTGTGCTTTCTAAAGATATTGAGCATACTTATTGGAAATTTATGTAATTTCACTCTTATTTTCTGTTCATATTTGATCGGACAAATAGGATGATCAAGCAATATTTTTTTTGATTTACTTGACAGCATCCTTGGAGAATAACTATAACAAATATGACCATCTGTATTTTGTCTCTATTAGTAACAATTAAAAATTTATTCACATTCTTTATTCACATGTATTAGGTTGTCAAAAAAGTCTTGCGGTATTTTTGGTATTTTATTGGATTTTCAATTGTTCATAAAATTTTTTTTGATGACTCATGCCTAGCTCTTGACCGATGCTACGGCTACTACTATGCCGGTCTCTTTCGACCAATTCAGCGATTTTATCGCAATTTTCRACGACAGGTCTTCCGGAGCATGGCGCATCTTCGACCACCTCTTCACCAGAACGAAAACGTTGAAACCATCGTTGTGCGGGGGAAATGGAAATTGTATCGCGTCCATAAACTGCACAAATTTTATTGGCGGCTTGAGATGCATTTTTGCCTTTATCGTAGTAGTACTGTAAAATATGTCGTATTTTCTCTTTATTTTGCTCCATGTTTGCGACGCTATAACTCACGAACGACTTAAAAGAAACGACAATCAATCAATCACGTGTTAACGCGTGAAATGAGCTTTCCAAAAAGGTATAGCATGACCCGATGCGACGAATCGCGCTCCCAGCTCAAACTAGCGAAAATACTGCGAGCCAAGGTGAACCATGTCGTATGAGTAACATTCAGTGAACGTCAACTATCAAACATAAACATCATACTAAATATAAATATTAATAAATTACCATTAAAAATAATATAAGTGAACTATGAAAAGTTTGGGACACCATAAATTAACCGAATTCATTAGTTATGTATGCATATGCGCCACCTTTAGAGCATTTTTCAAATGTTATTTGACAGGCACACAAACATAATCAACCAACTGACACACTTAACAAAAACGCAGTAATTATAAGTATAATTTCATATTTTAAGATACATGTGTCTCTGCCCCGGAAGTCAGCCAAAACCATTATTATTCCTGTATTCCTGTCAAATTAGTGTACTCTCTCAGGTTTAACACGCCCACTTTGGGGCTTGTAATGAGCTGAAATATTTAATGACTGCTCTACATTTGGTAATTTTTATTACTTAATTATAAAGAGTGTAGCAAAAATGACTGCTTGTGAAACGTCAACCCATAATTAATATAACCGAATTGTCAAACCCAAAACAAGGCTTGAACTCGACTTATATTGCACACACACACATACATATACACGCGCCATGACATGAAGAATTAGGCAAATTTTAAGCAGCGCTATAAATCAGCAATATTAATTTGAGTATTTTATTGTAGGCAGTAGTGGTTGGTTATCACACTGGCGCACCCTGTCTATATCCTCGCGGGTCCTATTTCGCTCCGGTCTAATTTGCAGCTTACACCGTTACGCCATTTTAGCTCATAATGACTTTTACATGAATGGGAAATATAATGCGCATTGTGGGCATTATAAAAATTGAACTACACTAATTGCAACTATTTTTTATCACTTTTTTCTTTTATTCCTGTGCCATGCGCTTGCTGATAAAAATGATGAAAAAAAGCATATGAAAGGCTATTCAATCCACTTTCCACCTTATCAGCGCTTTTCTCCCTCATTTAATTGAGTGCTTAGGGAGCGCTTTACCCAATAATTGCATTTATACATTTTTATGCATCATTTTTGTTGTTGCTTTTTTGTTTTATTTCTTCTTTTTGCTCATCTCTTGTATCTCAACGCTGTTATTTCAATACATTTTATAAAAAAATACACTTCATTTGCTAAAAGCGCATTTATGCAGCCAGCTTTGTAGGCTAGTAACTCACCACAACTTGATATATACAAACCGTTGTATTTATATGAATTAATATTTATACAGTTATACGCATTCATGTATGTAGTAGTTGGCCAAGTATGATTTTAAATATTTTTTTGCGTGCGCTTCTCCGTCATTAGCGTGGTGGCAAACAGGTGGCAGCACAAACCCCGAAACACACACACATATACAAGCACTCCATTAGAAATATATATTATGTTTTATGTTATCTCGCTGAATGGCAGCATTTATTGCAGGCGCTCTGGCAGGCAATTTAATGGAATTTAATCTGCTCTAAGTAGAGCTATACAAGTCTATATGTGCGTGTGTATGCTTGCACAAATACATGTGCAGCGCGTCACTTTTTATAAATATTACGGTTAATAAACTAAGTCAAGCCTTTATTGGTTCATTGCTTTATTGGCTACACTTATGAAATTGCACGAGGCACTCAATGCCTTTCAGTCGCAATATAAATATTTACATAAATGCTCGCACTTTGATGTTGCATTCATCATGTTGCCATTGCGCGAGCCATTAAATGCGCTACATTAACCTCGCGTATAGCAATTAATTAAAAACAGAATCATATAAATCGATTTGAGTGCAAAAACAAACTCAATTATGAACATAAAGATAAACGAAATCACAGACACGGCGAGAATTATCAATCAAAATACAGATATATATAGTATATATATACACGTACAATAAACTTACATAATATGAGTACATAACCATGCGTAGCGGTTATTTACTTAAGGAGTGCGTTGAGTGCAAGCTGTAGGCTGTTGTGTTCAAGGGCAACACTCGAATATTTTGAGGCCAAATCTTTCGAATAATCGAGGTATGGCCAAAAGACGACAACTCGGTCTTAAATATAATCACATATTTATCCAGCTTACAAAAAAAGTTGAAGAAGTTTAAAAAATATCAAAATATTTCTCAACATAGTAATTTTTTTATATCTCAACGAAGCGTTTCGGCAATAAAAGTTTTAACTGGTCTAAAAAATATGTTTGCTGGTGATCTTGTATTTCCCGCCACGGCATATTTCTTTATTTTATCCATATTTCTTACCGGTGAATGACTTTTTTTTATTTGAAAGCGAAAAGAAAGTAACACAAGACCAATTCTGAAGAGTACCGTGAATGAGGCAGCAGTTCATAGCTTTGTGAATCCCCAAAAAAACAAGCGATGGACATCCAATTTCTGGAGTATAGGCTAGTCGTCTTTTTTCTGTGAACGTTCGCCCGGTGATGTGCCATGGTATTTGGTGTATACCTGTGGATCCATATTCAGTGATAACAAAACCACGCAGAAACTCTTTCGTAATACTCTTAAATAGCGTCACACACTGCGAGGAGTCATCAAAACTCGATATGAGACATTAGAGTTCCACCGCTATGTATCCAAAGTTTCGGATCACCCAATAGATTCTACAAGTATAAGCTTACATTATAAGCATCAATCACTCGCTTAGGATTCCCAGGTACATGGCGATCGCCTAAAATGCATTTTTCTAGACACTTGTGTCACACTTTAGCGGCCATTAGGCCTCTTTTGTATTTTTTTAAATACGCCCTCTTCCACGTTGGGTCAAAATAAAACCTCCATTCCGATTCGCCTGAATGTAAGGGACAAAGTATTTCTGGAATAGAAGGATAATTCATCATAAACTATCATTTCATTCTTCTTAAAGAAGTTTTCCAAAAGCAGCCATCAGATTCAGTTTGAATATACTACTTGCTCAACCAATTAATTTCTACTCTTATTTTACTATTAATCTTATAATAAAGAAACAACCTTTTAAATGAAGACTAAAAGCCTTTTCCCACGCCCAACTTAATATAATACATTAAGATTGTAATTGATTAACAATTAACGATAGGCTCTATTAAAGATTAGCTATTTTACTTGCTTGTGTTCTTCATTTTGTATTTTCTCAAATCTTTAAAGCTCAACAGCTGATTGCTATTTTATCAATGCACTCAACTAAATTTACAGCCTGGATAACAACCGGGAGAATTAAAGGGAAATTTATAATGTGGATCAATTATAATCTTGATGTACTAAACTAATTTGGCTATGCGAAAGGCTATTAGCCTTTTCCACACTGTGAATTGATTAAGAATTTTTGTCGGAAAATGAGATTTTTGGTTTGTATGATAAATTGATTCAATTGAGCATTTTAATCGAGCAAAGGTCGCTTAATTGAGCAATTAACTCCGGAAAACGCTATATGACTTTAACTATAAATTATTTTAATTTAATTACTTAGTTGCTTTAATATCCAGTTATTAGAAATAAGCGCTCTTCTGGCTTTCTATGCACCAAATACATTATTATTTCTTGCGTTGAAATATTTCAGACGCTGGAAAATTTAATAAAATATATAAAATCAAAATATAATACTATTTAGTAATTAATAATTATATCTACCGTATTTGTAATCATTTTTAACACTTTCTCTCCATCCGTCATTTTCTTTCTTCCAGCAGGAAGTGCTTCCATGCCGCCTACTACTACTTGGACGACCCGCCACACCATCCCAACATGCCGCAAGTCGACTGGGAGGCACCCGTCGAGGTGGCTGGCGAGATACGCGCCGCTGTGCCGGTCAATGAATTCGCCAAACACGTGGCCTCCCTGCATGCCGACGGCGATATCGGCTTCAGTCGCGAATACGAGGCGATACAAAACGAGTCGATTGATGATTTACCCTGCGAGCACTCCCAGCATCCAGAGAACAAGCGCAAGAATCGTTATCTCAATATCACAGCCTGTAAGTCGCAATATTTAACTGTTATTAAATTAAAAAAAAAAACTATATAATTATTTCTAACACACAGACGATCACAGTCGCGTACACCTGCATCCCACGCCCGGACAGAAGAAGAATCTTGACTACATTAATGCCAATTTCATTGATGGCTATCAGAAATCGCGCGCCTTCATCGGCACGCAGGGTCCACTGCCAGACACGTTCGACTGCTTCTGGCGCATGATTTGGGAGCAACGTGTGTCCATAATTGTGATGATTACCAATTTGGTGGAGCGCGGTCGTCGGAAATGCGATATGTATTGGCCGAAAGATGGCGTCGAGACCTATGGTGTTATACAGGTGAAAATGGTCGATGAGGAGGTTATGTCCACCTACACAGTGCGTACGCTACAAATCAAGCACTTGAAGGTAAAACAGGTATGAACACCACGCTTGCAAGTTCATTCTCTCAAATCATATTTTAATATATTCTATAGTTAAAGAAAAAGAAACAATGCAATGCGGAGAAAATCGTCTATCAGTATCACTACACAAATTGGCCCGATCACGGCACACCCGATCATCCACTGCCAGTGTTGGACTTTGTGAAGAAATCCTCCGCTGCGAACCCCGACGATGCGGGTCCCATTGTGGTGCACTGCAGGTGAGTACATTTTTATAAAAAAAAATAAATCTCAATCTACTAAAATCTTTATTATTTAATTCTTTACGCGCTCGCAGTGCCGGTGTTGGTCGTACGGGCACCTACATTGTCTTGGACGCCATGCTGAAGCAAATACAACAAAAATTAGTCGTAAACGTATTCGGTTTCTTACGACACATACGCATACAGCGTAATTTCCTCGTACAAACCGAGGAGCAATATATATTCATACACGATGCGCTCGTCGAGGCGATTGCCTCGGGCGAAACAAATTTACGTACAGAGCAAATCGAAGAACTGAAGAACTGCACACCATATCTGGAGCAGCAGTACAAAAATATTATACAATTCCAAACGAAAGACATACACATTGCATCTGCGATGAAGCAGGTGAATTCGGTGAAAAATCGTGGTGCCATATTCCCCATTGAGAGTAGTCGTGTCCATCTGACGCCCAAACCGGGCGAGGAGGGTAGCGATTATATAAATGCGTCGTGGCTGCACGGTTTTCGGCGTTTGCGTGACTTCATCGTCACACAACATCCGATGTCGCATACCATGAAGGATTTCTGGCAAATGGTGTGGGACCATAATGCGCAGACCATTGTACTGCTGTCATCGCTGGACGAAATTGTAAGTCGATAGCCGAACTTTCTTTTGTTTTTTTTACTGTACTAACGGTTTTTCTGCTGATTGCGCGCTTTGCAGAATTTCGCACAATTTTGGCCAGACGACACGCAACCCATCGAAAGCGATTACTATCGCGTCAAATTTCTACGTAAAACGAACAAAAGCGATTATGTTAGTCGGGATTTTGTCATACAATCGATACAAGATGATTACGAGCTAAATGTGAAAATGCTACATTGTCCCAGTTGGCCGGAGATGTCGAATCCGAAGAGTATTTACGATTTCATTGTTGACGTACATGAACGTTGCGCCGATTATCGCAATGGACCAATTGTCGTTGTGGATAGGTAAGATTCCAATAAGCATCCATCCATCCATATGCACGTAAAACTTTGGCATAGTAAGAAATTACAGATTGGAGTTGAATTATTAAAATTTCTTTTATAATATGTGCGCGACGGATGGCCTAACCACAGAACCCTAAGGCCTTTAATCTATACAGAATTCTCTTCAGTCTCTTTCGATAACCTAACAACATGGAAAATTAAGTTTTGATAAGTTATTGAGCAAGAAGACAACCACCGTACAATAAGACTATGGGAAACGCCCACACATTTCTTCTTTTAAAGATACCAAGTGTGGTCAAGTGCTTCTCCACCTGATCTCTCCAACGAAGTGGAGGTCTTCCTCTTCCTATGCTTACCACGGCGTGTTCTGCATCGAATACTTTCGGAGGTGGAATATATTCATCCATACGAACGATATGACCTAACCAGCGCATCCGCGGTCCTTAATTCGCTGAACTATGTCAATGTGGTCACATATCACATTTTTTCATCGACTGCGGTTATTGCCAATACTCAAAGAACCATAAATCTTCCGCAGAACCTTTCTCTCGAAAACTTATAAGCTCGACTCCTCATCCGTGCCTCTGCATCATATAGCAGAACGGCAATAATGAGTGACTTTTTTTCAATATTCTGGGTTGGATTTCGAGCTTGACGTAGTTGTTGGCGTTAATGCAGGTTCCTGTCTGTCAACAGTAATGTTGGAGCCAAGTCGCGAGTGCGACGACTGTTTGTTTGATGACATGATATATTTTGTCTTGCCCTCGTTCACTACCAGACCCATTTTCTTCGCTTCTTTGTCCAATCTGGAGAAAGCAGAACTACAGGCGCCAATGATATCGATGTCACTGGCGTATGCCAGCAGCCGAACACTCTTGTAAAAGATTGTAACTTATCTATTCAACTCTGCAGCTCGAATTTTTTTCTCCGAGAGTAGATTGAAGAGGTCGCATGATAGGGAGACGTCTTGTCTGTGGTATCGAACGTCTCCTAGAAGTTCTTCTCGTTCCTGACGAAGCTTTTGATATTGCCCAACGACAATATACTCAGCCGTATTAGTTTTGCGGGGATACCAAATTCAGACATCGCGGCATAAAGGCAGCTCTTTTTCGTGCTGTTAAAATCAGCTTTAAAATCGACCAAGAGGTGCTGTGTGTTGATCGTCTTTTCACGGGTCTTTTCCAAGATTCGCCGCAAGGTGGATAGCTGGTCAGTTATTGATTCTCCAGTCCTGAAGCCACACTGCTAAGGTCCAATCAGTTTGTTGACGGTGGGCTTTAATCTTTCACAGAGTAGGTTCGATAGAATCTTATGTGCGATGTTGAGTAGACATATCCCACGGTAGTTGGCGGGGTCTCTCTTTATGTGAATTAGGCAGAACACACTTAAATTCCAATCGTCGGACATGCTTTCGTCCGACCATATTCTACAAAGAAGCTGATGCATGTTAGATATTAGTTCTTTGACATCGGATTTGAATAGCTCAGCCGGCAATTGTTCGTCCCCCGCCGCTTTGTTGTTCTTCAGACGTGTAATTGCTATTCGAACTTTTTCATGGTCGGGCAATGAAACGTCCACACATTCGTCATCAGTTGAAGAATCGGGTTAGCCTTCTCCTGGCGATATACTTTCACTGCCATTCAGCAGGGTGGAGAAGTGTTCCCTCCATAATTTCAGTATGCTCTGTGCATCAATCACTAGATCTTTTCTGGGGGTTCTACAAGAATTTTTTTTTTTATATAGACTAACGAAATATGAAAAAATTAGACAAAAAAAGCTTTGAAAATTTCACACTGTTCTATACGTTTTTGGCATTGAATTTCTATACATATTTTATTGTTTTATTAAAATCGGTTTTTCCATTTCTTTCTTTTCCGATTGCGACAAAATCATTTTAATTTTGCCAAATAACGCATATCAAACGCACCACGAACAACATGACATTCACCACAAACAGATATGGCGGCGCACAGGCGTGCACCTTCTGCGCCATCTCGTCCCTCGCGATGGAAATGGAATACTGCAGCACGGCGAGCATTTACCAGTACGCCAAGCTGTATCACAACAAGCGGCCGGGCGTCTGGACCTCCAGCGAGGACATACGCCTAATCTACAATATACTCTCGTTTTTGCCACGCAACCTGCAACTGCTTGAACGCACAGCATTGCGCACGGAATTCGAGGATGTGACAACGGCCACGCCGGATCTCTACAGTAAAATCTGTAGCAATGGTAATATAAATGCCCAGCAAAATTGTAATAATTTGGTCTATCATAATCATAGTAGTAGCGTAAACCATAGTAATAGTATTAGTAATACAAATGTGCTTAATGAAAATGCAAATGCTTGTAACAACACCACAAACAATCTGAATACAAATTATACAACAAACACTATAACAACAACAACAACGACTGCTACAGCTACTACACCCACAACGATTGATACTAGTGGTGGCAACATAACACCACCAACAACGCTTACACCAAATACGAGCGCAAATAATTTACAATATGAACAACAACAACAATACCAACAATCATCACAGCAACAACCTCATTTTGCATCACAACACATGCAATCGCTCAATTCAGTACAGTCACCAACAACAACAACAACAACAAACAACACACCAGCATCAAACCAATACACACCAGCAACATCAAACTCACAGTGTGCAACACCAACACCATTACCATCATCATCATCATCACCAAACACAACACCAGCAATGTCAACAACACCAGTCGCACCACTAGCATCAATAACGGCAAACAATCATAGTACGGCCATGTTTACAACAACAACAACACCCGATTTGACTAATAATATGACGACCAACAGCATCAACAACACTAACAATTGTAATGCTAATCTAATTGGTAATGCTAATTATAATGAAAATTTCGCTAATACTAATACTACTACTAATGCCTACACTACTGCCACCACAAACACCAAAACCAACACCACTAACCAACATAATACAACATCCTATTGTGTATCCCCCAATACGAATCCCAACATCAATACCAACACCAACAACACCGATTCCGTTTCCACAAATCATTTTACAACAAATACAACAACACCCACTTCCATTGCTGCTATTTCCACTAATGGTGAACGGTTTTCTCTTGTAAATAATTTGGAACAACAACAACGCCACCATGAACAACAACAACAACAAACATACCAATATGAACCAACTAATCTGCACCATCACCATAACCAACAACAACAACAACCATCACAACTAACTTCGCTGACCGACGCCATCGCCGAACTGCAATTGTATGCCACGAATGGTAATTCAAACCTTGCAACAACAACAACAACAACTAATGGCATCGATTGTTACGCAACAACAATGGCACTGCCGCCACCGCCACCTGCTTTCGATAATGATCCGGATTTAACTCTACAACAACAACAACTGCAACAACAACACGAACACCAATTGGATCCGCTAAATTCGAACGCTTCAACTCTATCTGCGCCCTGCTCGGATGACACAATTGATGGCCTAACCCCGCTGTTACCCACGCCTCCGCCACAATACCCCAACAACGCCTATGCAAATAACACTTGCAACACGGTTGATGTTAATGCCACCACACCGTTAACAAAATCCTCCTCCAACACTTCTTTATCCTCCTCAAACGCAACGATTAATTACAATGGTAATGGTTACGCTAATGGTAATGGGAATAATAATCAAACCCATTTGCATGGTAATGGTAACGGTTTATTAAATGCTACTAATACTAATATGAAACAAATGACAACTCTAACAACAACTAAAGCAGCGACTGTTACAGATGCTCAAAGTTTAGATATTGTAGGTTAGAATTACAAAAAAAAAAATAAATATTATAAAAATAACAGTAAAATATAAATATATATGTATAAATATATTAAATTAAACGTACATACATATATGCGTAGCACTTAAGTGTTAGCTATTAAGGAAAAAAGTGAAATTTATAAATAGACTAACAAATTATTTTTATGCAAATTACAATGAAAACAAAAATAAAAACAACAAAGAGATTGAAAATAAAAATGAAAAAAACGCTAATGCTCGTGAGCCCATCTCGGCGTGAATGTAAATGTTTCAACGAAAACGCCAGACAACTGCTAATTAAATAACAGTATATAGTGTTGTACTCCGCATGAGCAACACTGTTGCGTTAGTAAGCAGAGTGAGCAGTAAACATTTATTAAATATTTATTTTGAATAATATTTTTAAGTAATTACTGTTTGTATTTAAGCATTTGTTTATGCTACAAATTTTCTAAAAATATTTTTATGCTATATTTATTACAATTAATTGTCTAACTATCATATATGTGTGTATAAAATAAATAAATTTTAGTTGCAGTAATTTATTATGTACGCATTGGGATTGTCCTACAAGTTTGTCGCAAACTTTTATATATTCTTGCGCCATGTAAATGGTTACAAAACAACAGTAAAGTAACTAAACCCACTTTATAAACGTATTTATAATTGTCCTTAAATATATTATTTAAATTTTAAATATATTCTAAGCAAAGCTTGTGTTACAATTAAGTTTTGTCAAGAGCATTTCTTAAAAATGATTTGTATCCCGTATCTTCGTACACACCCAGTCTTAGTCTTATGAGCGAATGTATACCGACCAAAATACAAAAGCGAAATTATTAAAAAATAAATTAACATATTTATATTTAATTATCAACATCACAAGCGCATGAGCGCCTACCACTGTATAGTCATAATTCACAAACAAAAATAAAATAGAATCCATCTCATATGTTAAATAAAGAATAAAACGAAAAATATATATACGCAAAGTAAAAAAAAATTAATATCAAACAACTTTAAATGCATGCACTTTATTGATTTCTGCGTGTTAAGTACTCGTAAGTAACCACCAAGTGTATACACATACATATGTTGCATAGAATATGAATGTGTTGCTAAATATTATAATTTCTTCGACTTCACTCACCACTTTCGTGAACTTCCAAATGATTATGTGTAATAAAATACTAAAATATTGCTGGCATGTGGAAAATTGTGTTCAAAAAAACCACAAACAAATATTACTAAATGTTGCCAGCAACATGTTGCAAAAAGTTTATTGCATGTAAATAAATAATCAAATATTGTTGGCATGTGACAGACTTTGTGCAAAGAAACTGCAGACAAATATACTACCAGCAACATATTGCACAAAATAAAAAATTCATAATATGTTACGCATAGTCACATATTGCTGGCATGTGGATGACCTTGTTCAAAGAAACTGCAGATAAATATTGCTAAATGTTGCTAGCAACATATTGCACAAACCATTATGTCTTATACATAGTCACATATTGCTGGCATGTGAAACATTTTGTTCAGCGAAAATGCAAACAAATATTAGTAAATGTTGCTAGCAACATGTTACACAAACAACTTTCAAAATGTGTAATAAATAGTCATTTGAGTGTTGAAGAACTTTGTTTAAAGAAAAAGCAGAAAAATATTTCCAAATGTAGCTTAAACAAAATTTTGCACAAAAAACTTTAATTGTTTATAATAAATAGTTAAAATATTGCTGGTATGTGGAGGATTCTTTTCAAACAAACTTCTGATAAATGTTGTTAATAATATGTTGCAGAAACAAATTTCCATATGTGTAATAAATTAGTCAAATATTGCTGGCATATGGAAGATATTGAGCACAAAACTGCAAACAAATATTGCTAGCAACATGTTGCCCAGAAAAATTCCCCTATGTATGATAAATAGTCAAAATACCGCATGCAGGTGAAGATTTGTATTCAAAACATACGCAAAAAAATTTAGTAGACGTTGCTAGCAACATGTTCCACAAAAAGTTGTATCGACATGATTTATTAATAATTTATTTACAGCTTTTTACTATTCCGACATAATTACTTTTTCCAACAGTTGTTTGAGCTATTTGAAGATATTTTTAAATCAGAATTAGAATTATTTTCGTCAATGTCGCCAAAATGTTGTAAAAGCAAATGTTACTCCGCATTAGTTATAACATGTGTTAGCAAAAATTAAAAAAAAAAAATTATAAATTAAAATTAAAATAAAAAAATATTTTAGTATATTGTTGTACAACAATGTTGTCAGCAGTTCAAAATTAATCGCATTTCTGCTTGTACTTGTAGTCAAAGATTTGAAACGGTTTTTCTTTTAATCGTCGAGCGGTTTTAGCACAAAATATTCCAAGACAAATATTTTATGCTGCCGTCCGGCTTTCAATACATTTTACTTTCTGTTCTGCGTGAAGCAATATTTATGTAGAATCGCAGTATGAAAAACTTAAACTAAACACTTATTGAGTTTTTTAAGTAATTAAATTTTAAATTAATTTTTTTTTTATTAATTAATTTTTCTAACTAATTTTTTTTAT